GGGGGGGGTACACATAGAACTGTACAAATAAACACCTTAACATACGGAACTGCAGTAATCTCGACAAGCTAATGGTTTGGGTTTAGGGTTTTGTCATTACTGTTAATACGCACATGTAGTACGCAGTTATGTCGCTACAATATTACTAACATTTTACTTCCTCTAGGTGTAGCTTCCAGGCAAAGCTGTATCATGCACGCTGCCTTAAGACCGTCAGTATAGACTCAACATGTATGTGTAGCTTCCAGGCAAAGCTGTATCATGCACGCTGCCTTAAGACCGTCAGTATAGACTCAACATGTATGTGTGTAAACCAGGCAAAGCTGTATCATGCACACTGTCTTAAGACCATCAGTATAGACTCAACATGTATGTGTATAAACCAGGCAAAGCTGTATCATACACGCCAAGAGGACAGTGTGAGTAGTGTAGATTCCACACGCCGCTCACACAAGAACCAAGCCGTGTATTCACAAACTGAGTTTGTCACACAACGATATTTTGAGACAACTGAGGACTCGAGATTCTTTTTCTTTCTTCTTTTTCTTTTTGTTTTGTTTTGTTAGTGTACCCAGGTGTTTTACGCCCAGATCGACACTATTTAGAGAATTTTAGAGACGAGCTTTGAGTTCTTTGACCTCGTCTGTCAGAGCCTACCCAGGCTGAGATGGGTACAACATCTCAGCAGACACACCGAGAAACTCGAGGAAAAGTCTTCCCACTCAGTAATCGAAGTCGGGTCTCCTGGGTACGGCAACGAAGCATCTAACCACTACTCGTGTGGGTGGTTGACGGGTGTTCTGTCGTGGTGTGCTCCTTCTTTCCTATGAAACATCTATCGTCCTTATTTCTCCTTCTTCTTTTCTTTACTTGTTACTCTTAAGTGGTCGCTTTTTATCACAAGGGGCTATCCTGTTAAATGCTGTTTTGAGAAAATCAAAAGTAAAGTTTTGCCCCTTGTTCAGTTTCTTTAAAAGACAAGGAGAGTTTTCTCTATAACCAAACAAATATACACACCAATGAAACCAAACTTCTCCTATAGGTAGGGCAATGCCCCCTTTAGGTATAGGTCAAAATTTCTAGAAACCCCCGAAATCTCGGTTAGCCCGCCTGTCCTTAAAAGCGACCGTTTAATAGTGCTGGGCGGCAAGGTTCTCGACTACTGAAAGCTAGGAATCGTAGGAATCGACTCCGAACCCAATGACTTACTTCATAATGATGTGATTTCTTCCGGTGGTTACCTAGTTGGCTAAGGTATGTGGTGTACGTTAAACCTCTCACACATCCACCAGACAGCGCCACTGACTCAAGTGTCTTTAGGCCTTTCCCAAAGGGGGATATTAACATGCTCTCATGCGCAGCAGAATTGTAAATGGGCTGATTTATCAATGTCATTCTCATACTGTGCCGAAACAACATTGGGGGAACTGCTACTTTTTCTGTCCTCATCCTTACTATCGTCATTTTCCCTCTACTTCTTTTGTATATTGTCACTCTCTTGTGAACTGCTAGTTCTGGGATGCCTTGATAGTCGAAGCAGACTTTGTGCTGTTGAGGCTAGAGAGGTGAGCAGAGTAAGCCTGATTCCCCGTTTGCACTTCTCTGTTGACATCCACCCCTCGGCGCTCATATGACCTTAAGCAGTTGCGAGCGCTGTAAAACCTTACTAAAACTTTTTAAAAACCTAAACCTGTTGTGGTGTATTTGGTTGTTTTTGGTAGTGGCAGGGGGTTAGGCCTAGCCTATTGTATTGTTTGGCTGAAAGTGTGAGAGTGAGCAAAGTGTGAGTCTGTGTTCAGTTGTATTGTTTGCAAGTGGATAAAAGCCTGAGTTACTACTGGTGGGATTTTGAGAGGAGAGAGTTGTATCAAGGCAGAGGAGGCCTGCTGAAAGTATAGGTTGTGAAAAAGGCTAGTTAGAGCCTCAGTTCAGTTGTGCGTGAAGTGTGAGATTCCAATCCAACGCATCGGGGCCCCAAAGCTGCGGAAAGAATCACAACACAGAGCAGAGGAACAGGTTTGGCTAATTCCTGTTATAGTAGCATGTGACAGAAGGTTAGTAGTGTAAAATCTTTGTTTTATGTTCCAAGTAACAACACCTGTCACTAGAGGAGCTGACTACTACACCAAAGACGCCGAAGAGCTGGGATTGTCCATCTGATAGCGAGACAAGATCTGTCTCACAGCGGCTCTCCTCACCTTGCCGGTCTCTAGCCAGACTCTGAGCGTTGCCAGACAAACCTGGGACCTGGTGACGTCATCGGGGCCTCTTGCAGATCTAGAGATCCCTCTATAGCCGGACTTACATTGTCTTGATGAGCTGGACACATTTCCTTGTGGCAGGTCTTTGGATCTAAGCCTGAAACCTGCAGAAATTGCTTTGTTCGGGTCCGGTCTCGCCTGCCACTCCTCCAGTTTCTGAATCAATGCGGGCAGCGTGTAGAGGATTGGGTTGAGGGCGGAGTTGAGAGGCAGGATGAAGATGGTCGCGACCACGTTCACTTCCCCTGGGATTGGAACTCCAACCTTGGACAGGAGACCCATGACTCCGATCGGAAACCAGCACAGGAAGTCAGTTATCACAACGAGGGCTAGTTTTCGTGCAATGGCTGTGTCCTGGTTTCTTGATGAGAGAAAAAAAAAATCAACAGACAGAATGATAGACAGGTAGTGTATTGACATTGTCCAAAGAACGTGGACGAACAAACTCTGAGTTCTGTATAAACAAACAAACAAACCCCCCCCCCCCCACACACACAAACACAAACACAAACACACTGATGATTACTGCATTTGTAGCATATTATTTCCCATCGCTACAGCAAGCTCTCTGCGCTTTACAACTATCATTTCTCTAGCAGAACTTGGACACCCAAGAAACATTCTTAGCGCTCATGTGACCTTATGCAGTTGCGAGCGCCGTAAAACCCTCTACTATAAAAAAAAAAAGAAACATTCTTGGCTTCTCGGGAAGCACACAGTGCAAGCAAAGGATTACACGTTCTTAAACATGAACAAACTGACCAAATCTTTCGCTGTCTACAGCAATGGGCACACCAAATCTTTCGCTGTCTACAGCAATGGGCACCAATTCCCACCCGGGGAGAAGTGAGCAAAATATATGTCAAGTGCCTTTCCTAAGGGTCTGATGTTGATGGGCCACTGATTGCCTTCAAACCCACGACCCTCTGGTCGCAAGCCCAATAGCCTAACCACTGGACCACCGACGGCACTTGTGGTACATAGACGTGAGCTGAGGGGGGCAAAGAAATCCCCCCACACTAACACAGTGGTACTGTCGCCACCTGCTTGATTAGAAAAATTGTGTGGGTTGAATCCCTTTAGATCACCAAAGGGGCGGGGCCTCCGAATTTAATGTTCATCTAAGAATTTATGGAAAGTATGTCACATGGCCTCACAAGGATTCCATCAGTGTATCTTTGTAGTGTTTTTATTTTGCCCACCATCATCATTATCATCATCATCATCATCATCATCATCATCATCATCATCATCATCATCATCATCATCATCATCATCAAGAAAACAACAGCAACAACAACAACTACAAATATTGAACAGTGATACAAAGAGCTGTAGCGAGAAAATCATCGAGAAGAAGAACGACAACAACAACAACAACAACAACCACAAACATAAATCTTCGATGAACACAGCTTTAGCAAAAATAACCATTACGACGACGACAACAATAATAACAACAACAGCAACAACAATAGCAATAACAACAACGACACCATCAACAACAACAACAACAACAACAACAACAACAACGACAACTACAACAATAACAACAACAACAACGACAACAACAACGACAACAACAACGACAACAACAGCAACAACAACAAGAGAAAAATAAAACAACCCAACCTCCTGCTTATCGGAGCGGCTGTCATCTTGAGACTGTTGGCCTTCACGGAGCGGTAGATGAGGACTTGCCCAACAGCGATAGCCACAAACAGGGCCAGGTTGAGGACGATGAAGACAGAGAAGGCGTAGTCTCTCCCCGGGAAGTCGGCGCGGGTGATGGGCAGGGGAACACACACGGCGGTCTGAGCGTAGAACCGCCAGTGGGACAAAGGAGGTAACAGAGGAACCCCAGCAAACAGGACACCGACAACCCACGTGACCAGCACCAGACATCGGGCTTTCTTTGGGGTCAGGTGGACATTGGCTAGCGGAAAAGCCAGGGCCAGGTACCGGTCTAGAGTGACCATACAGATAGTGAGGGCGGACACCTCGCTGGACACCGTGCTCAGAAACCCGGCCAGGGAACAGTAACTGGAGCTTTGCCAGGAGTCTGCCTCCCACAAGTAGCGGCCCTTGTAGACTTGGTCCGCAGCGCCGATGATAGCCAAGTAAATCCCCATGAGGAGATCGGAGGCGCTGAGGTTGATGACGAACGTGTTGTAGCCCAGTGTGGAAGGCTTGCGCTCTACACACAGCCGGTAAACCAGGACACAGCTGTTGCCCAAGATTGTCAGCGACGCCACGAGCCACAGAAAAACCCGGAAAAAGGGCGTCCGGAGGATGTCCTCACAGGAAGAAATTTCATCTTTTGGAGCTTGGCAGGTTCCCGTGGACAAGGACTTTGGCTTCATGACCGGACAACACAGTTTGTAGTTGTCACTGCTCAGTGAGGTAAGCTGAGACAGACCCAACAACATACCTTGCTGGAACACGGAAATAGAGTTCCCTCTCATGGTGAGCGTCCTCAGTTCTAGCAGTCCATCAAAGGCGCCAGTCTCCACCACCGTGAGGCCCATGTCGTCCAGCTGTAAGCTTCTCAGCCTGGCTAGGCCGGTGAAGGAGGATGATCTGATACGTACTTGGGCGTTGCCGGAAACATCGAGGATTTCAAGGTTTTTCAGAGATGTTATAGGCTGCAGGTCCGTCTCGGATAGTTCATTCCTGGCAAGAAAGAGTTGTCGAATTCCTGGACTTTTTTCAAAGGAGTCTGGGGCAAAATTTCTTAAAGCATTGTCGCTTAAATCTAAGTGGTATAGGTTCGTCATGCCCAGAAGACCAAGTTCCCGTACATTTGAGTTGTGAGCAAACAGGGCGATTATGTAATGGTTTTGTACAGTCAGTGAGTCGTTTGGTCGAGCAGTGTGAGAAACATCCAGTCGCCTCACGCGTACAAAGTCACCGATCGTGAACCCAGAGCGGCAGGTGATTTCTTCTCCCGAGCACACACAGCCGGGCGGACATGTGTCGTTTGTCCAACAGAACGTCTCGTCGTCGTGTAGCGGACAGTGGAACCAGCCGTCACAGACGTGGTCATCGTGGAGACACATGGACGTCTGGTGACACTTGTAGCGGCCCTCACAGAAGGACTGGCATGTCTCTGCCAGCTCGTCCTCTCCCTCCGGGCAATCTGTGTGGCCGTTACAGAGCATGTGGATGGGTATACAGTAGCCTTTGGGGCACTGGGCGTGTGTTGGCGGACACGGCTCGCCCTCGTCTAACGGCTCGATGGTCACTTTGCCGTAGCCGTCTGGCCGGACAACGCCTGGTGGTGGCCGAGCGTCAAGTGTGTGAGGAACAAAGTCAGGTTCCAGGATCCACTGACCACTCTTGTCTCTGAGGTGGCAGTCCAGGGCGTCGTCGTGCGCCCAGTGGGGCGGCAGGCAGCCCACAGACGGACACAGGAGGGCCCCGCCGTTACACCTAGAGCAGTCCAGCTCGTCAGAAGCGTCCAGACAGTCGGGTTTGGCGTCACACCAGGCAGAGGCCGGCACCGGGACCCCATCGTCACACACCGCCAGGGCTGAGTTGTCGTCAGAGGCCGGGGCACAGAACTCCTCGTCAGAACCGTCCACACAGTCGCTGACACCATCACAGACGTGGGAGTACCACAGCGGGCGTCCAGACGTGCAGGTAAACCGGACATACGAGGGTACGTCACTCAGACCAGCGCAGCCGACTTCGTCACTTCCGTCCCAGCAGTCAGAGAGCCAGTCACATCGCCTGGACAGTGAGACTCTCTCTTTACTGACCACACACTCAAACGTTTCCCTTTTCGCCGTCCACACAGCAGCCGAGGAAGAAGTCACGAGGGGTTTCGCTTCCGCTGTTTTCTTCACCTCACAGACTATATGAACGTTTTGTCGTTGGAAAATAGTGCGAGAAAACTCTGCATCGGACTTTCTTACCGTCCACACTTGGTAGCAGGGTATGTCTGTAACTTCCCTTAGATTAAATATTTGCGTGTAGTCCCACAAAGCACAAGCAGCTGTGACGTCAGAGACAAACTGCTGTTTGAATCCACCGAACACGCTCGTCCCGTCCACAGCCTGGTACACTTTCCGATACAACAAATCAGCGCCGAAGCTCCTACGGCGGAAGCCCAGATACCACAAGGTTGCAAAGCTATACTGAAACTTTAGGAAAATCAAGTGGGACAGAAACTGGAGCTCTCTTCCGGTATTGGGAGTGACCAAATGTCCGTTATACTGCTGCACGCACATGTTCTCTGCTTTCTGCCAAGTGCCTTTCCACTGTGGCGCGAGGAGGTGATAGCAGCTGGAGCCAAAGACATGGCCGCCTGGGCACCAGGGTGTTCCAGTGACATAGGCGCAGTTAACCTCGTCCTTACCTCCTTGGCAGTCGTCTCGGAAATCACAAATAATGTCTGGAGGAAGAGATGTCTCATGCCCCGAACAGTTGAGAACAAATGTGCCAGCTAAGGGGAGGACTGGATCTCTTCTGACCGCCTTGTACCACATCTAGAATCCCTTGCCCTCGCTCAACGCTCCTGAGTAGAAGTCTACTTTGGCACGGTATCCCGGAAGTGTAAAGTGATAGCCTTCTGTAACGCGCTGACTGTAGCCGGGGAACGCTGCATACACAACATCCTGAAGGTAGATAGAAAACTCGCTTTGTGGGAAGAGCTGTAGGATTAGGGAATCTCTCACTCTGCTAAGCCCAAAAAACTCGAAGGACAGCTGAAGAAGGCTGTTATTGGACACTTGGATATCCCATTTGCACATAGTGGGAGCCGGATATCTGATGCCTTCTCTGTAGCCAGGAGACGTGAGGAACCCCGCCTGACCATCACCCACCACTGTATGCTGTGACTGGCACAGGGCCGTCTCGTCTGTTTCCTCGCACTTCCGGTATTTTAGAGTAAAGGAAATGGCGTCACGACATAGAACGTTCTCGCGCGTCTCCACTCTGAATATTGCTGTACCCCATGAGAATGTCATCGGTTTCGGGAGCACAGATAGCAACATTGTCACAGGGAAAAGTCCCCCGACTATCTTTACACGTGTAAGTCTCGTCTGAGTTGAGCATGAGAGGAGACGGAACATTGAACTCCAGAAATTCTATCATTACATCCAACCCCACGGCAGTTTTATCTTTAACGACGATCTGAGTTTCACACCACTTTGCACAGCATGGTGATCGGAAGTGGAAAAGTCCTTCATCCGCTGTGGCCAGGAGCTCGGCCTCTGAGCCACACTCGAGGGGGGTAGGGGGCATTCCAAAAGTACTCACTCCATACTTCGTTCGAAATGGTCCTTGAATCTGGATGTATGTACTGTTGTCCCGAGTTTTCGCACAGTTTTTGTCCAAGATCTCGAGTCTAGGACTGTGTCGTTTCCCTCTCTCCGACCCATCTCGCGAGAGACTTCTGGACAGGTGTTCAAGTTTTGTTAAGCGGTGTTCACTTTCATCTGACTGTAGTCTGTTCTCGAATTGCTGGCTCGATGTAAGACTGACGCTCCAGCCGTCCATCCTAGGAGCCTGCCAGCCAGACCTGTTATACTTGGGCAGGTGTGTCCAGGAAGGAACAGCGTCACTTTCGGCGGTTCTCCTCCAGCTTGCGGCACTACAGAGGAGCAAAACTACACCGAACATCTCCACTCGTGGTTGATCTGTGCTGAGAAATGATACAAATCTGGCTGGTATTGTTGTTGTTGTTGGTGTTGTTGTTGTTGTTGTTGTTGTTGTTGTTGTTGTTGTTGTTGTTGTTGTTG